AGTGCGGAAAGTGCGGAAAGTGTGGGAAATGCACTTATTCATAAATCGGTAAAACGCAGGTAAACATTTGGCTAAGATTTCTAGCATAAATAAATTAACAAATTGAAACTAAAATCTCAATCAATATGACAAAGGGTTGGGAGCATACTATATATATATTTTTTTTTTAAATAAAAGATTGAAAAATTGGAATTTTGCATTAAAAACCTATCAATTTCAGAGTTACTCAGCCGATGGGCTGTGAAATGGTGTTCGAAGACACGCGAGGAATTAAGGATACCAAATTCAATTCATTTTGTATTCGTCATCTTATAAGTGAATTTCTTCTTGTGTATAGTCATGTGGCAGCCGTTTTTGCAACTGCGAAGAACAAAACTCATTCCTTTTTCGCGTTTTCTAAATTTGCAACTTGGCAGAGGTCGACCTGCGCTGGCGAATGGTCTGGCTATATGTGTATTTTGAAGTTTTAACGAGAAAACACTCCCTCACTATTCCACTCAGTCTCAGATTTCAGATCTTTGACCGACAACGCTTTACGATTTAGATATGTAAATGACTTTTGCTCCCGCGTTGTCCGTATTTAACTATCACGTATTAAATATAACTTTAAGATATCTTATCGATGCATGGAGTGTAAGCATGCAAGTTCTAGAAGCTTGGAATATAGAACTTGACAAAAACATTGCACGCATGTTTAAATTTAACTTCATTGAAAATTATTCAGACGGAAAAAAGTGTCGGTTTGAGAGTGATCAGGGGGGCGGGCACGTCACATATCATTACCACTTATTTTGATCAGTGATCAATATGTCAAATACATATCGTGATCGATACGTTTGGCAGCACTCATGAGCCTCTTAGCCAATAACGTCCTTATTCCTTGATATACACTTTCAGGATATTTTTCGTCTTAGATTAATTATCCTTGTGTAAACCGTACTAAAATGATGAAACTTGCGGTGATTTTGGCATGTACGCTGGTGTTTTATTTCGCAATCCACAGTGCCGAGTCCAGTAAGTTTGTAATATTTATCTGAGCTCGTGTCAACGAATATAATATTAAAGTTAAGTCATAGAGATTAGAGCTAAACATGTAATAGAATAAGACCGCAAAATAAAACTTGAATGAACGGACATTAACTGACTGATATTACAATTAGATCAATGCGATGAATATCACTATTTACGAATTGCCACAATTTTTTGTTCGTTTTTTTTAAGCTATGATTTTCAAAAGTAGGACTGAAGAATTCTTAATAACCAAAACTTGCTGCGTAATACTTATATGAATATTCATCAAGCATTTCTTGTACGAATCTTTTTCCGTTTTGCTGATGCATCAGAACTGTCCTCTTGAGTTTAACGTGGCTACTTTAAATATTCCTCTCGTAGCGTACTAAGCTATTCCTAGTATTTTCGCAAATATCGTGTATACTGTAATATACTGTAAGATGTTGTACTGTCAGAGGTCTTGTACTTTGACAATAAAGTCATGTAAACATTTATTATTTTTCTATGCAATACTGAATCTTGGTGTCATCTTTCAAATCAGTATATGGTAAAATCTCATTACCGTCCAAGAGCAGTTGCTATACTATTATTGATAATGTCGTTTTTTAAATATTTTTAGGAGATTTCTGCTACAAGAGGGACGATGGTGATTACGCAAATCCAGTCAATTGCCATATGTATATCACCTGCAGCAACAATATAGCGTATTACAGACAATGTCCAGCAAAACTGAGATGGAATGAGCGCACAAAGACATGTGATTGGCCCAGAAATGTTAAATGTCACATCAAGCCTCCAGGCAAGTGTTGATTTATCTTCGAATACTTATTAATGCTTATAAATTGCAATACTTATCGTCTTTTCAAATCTTTTTTTAGGTCATTGCTCTGATAACATCTCCCTTAGAAGCTGCTTGTTTCTCAAAAGTCACAATCAGTGCCGCAAAGACAAAACAGTTCTAAATGTGTTCTGTAGAAAAACCTGCGGTCAATGTTGAATTAAGGGCTTTTTGCTTAAAGTGCACTAAATAAACAATAACTTCAAGATTTTTTTTACATTTTATCTATACTTTTTTGAAATCTATTCAGTTTCCTATCCAAGTATTTCTTTCTATTCTAACTTTTTTCGGATCCTCAAACTAACTAACAATTTTTTAACAATCATCTTATCCAATCCTAATTGAACTAAAATTAGCGTCCGAAACGT